ACTATTCTAGACACGAAAAAATTATTCTCCTGCATGACAATGCTCGTCCACATGTAGCGGCTCCCGTGAAAAAGTATTTGGAAACACTTGATTGGGAAGTGTTACCCCACCCGCCGTATTCACCAGACATTGCACCGTCCGATTATCACCTATTTCGGTCCATGGTACATGCTCTGTCGGATCAGCGGTTCAAATCATATGAAGATACCAAAAATTGGGTTGATTCTTAGATAGCTTTAAAAGACAAGGAGTTCTTCCGACATGGGATCTGAATGTTGCTACAGAGAAGGGAAAAAGTCATTGCAAGTGATGGACAGTATTTTAAATAACCTTRAAATTACCATTCTTCTAGAATAAATACTTCATTTTTAATTAAAAACGGCGGAAACTCATTTGTACACCTAATATGAACGATTAGAATCATTGTTCTTATCCAAAAATAAATACTCTTCCACCCATCCCCCTTTTACTTTCCCATATTCATACCATACCTGTGTCATAGCAATCGCTGATCCAGGAAAATAAGGATTGAATTGTTGCGTGTCGGATATCGTCAAACCTGCGGGTGGATCCATAAAACCGGTGAGCAAAGAAAATATATAATTACGTCCGTTTTTTCTAGCCAATACAATATAAGTCAGATCAGGTGGATAAGATCCGTTATTGGCAAACTTTGCTGCTTCCTCGTTGGGAAATGGTGGTGGTATACGATCCGATAATTTTCCTGGTCTTTTATAATAATTTCCTTCCTCGTCCGGTCCGTCTACTATCTTTAAAACAGAAAAACTGAAATATTTGATGAGCCCCAGAAAAAGAATATAACATATGTAAGTGTTGTTTGTTAATAAAATGAAAAGAGATACACAGAAAACAATTGTATGACATAATGAAAACCTCGTAATCTGCTGCAATAGCTGCTACTTCATCCCTCGTGTGTGACACGTTGACCAAATCCATAAATCTGACGTATTCGAGACTATGACAAGTACCGCAAATTGTTTTATAAACTTGCCAACCTCTTCTAACAGCAGCATGATCCAAAGACGTGAAAATTCCGTCAAACTTCCAGGGATAACTCGGTGGCATTGCTTGAGTGATGTCGGCCTTGACCGACCTGTCGAGGAAATACAAAACTGATCCACAGGTGGTGGCTGCACCTGCGAGGACACCCATAGAGATACGAAACATCCTTTTTCTATCATTTTCACGATTAACACGAGTCAACGAGTTAAAACGTAACGCAAAATATTTCTTGTTTCTAACGTTAAGTATTTTATCGACAAATTTATTCAAATTGACACAACTTTTTCTTAAAAAGGTAGCCATGTTTCTTTTCTTTTTTGTTTCATTGAGAATAATCTTGATCGAGATCGATTTATCGAAACAATCGACGTTTGAATATCATCACGATATATCAATTAACTCGATTATATCATATCGATTTTATATTTCATATTTTATTTATATATTTATTTATTTCCTTTTTTTGTTTTTCTCTTCGAGATGACAACCGTCAGAAGAAATGATTCTTTTTGTATTTTTTTCTGATTATTTTTAATATCTTTATAAGATTTAAAAGAGAAATCTTTACTATCGGCTGCATTGTATATATATATATATATATAATACTTACATGGATAATACGTACATAGGTAATATAACATACACACGTATACCTAATACGTAAGTTTGTGTAGAAGAGACGTTTCAGGATGGAGAGTATCATTGATTATGTTACACAACGAGCCGTTACACAACGTTTTTACAATAAAGGCACCGAGTGTATTTCCGCGACGTTATAAATAAACCACTTGGTTATGCTTGGCATTATGGATGTGTATGTGTATGTGTGTAGGAGTGTGTAAACGTATGCGTGTATCATTGCTGCTCGGCGTTTGCTGCGCTTGCTTGCTTGCTTGTTCTATCAATCTTCTTTCTTTCTCTTTCTCACTATCTTAATATGCACACACATACATATATATATATATTCGTGTTGTTCCTCTCTTTCTTTCTCTTTACACGGTTGGATTATGAAAATCTATGCGACGACGGGGGTTAGGGGATATTTCAAACGTCGGACACGTTTCCTGCTGTTTCGCATCGGCGAATCATAGCTAAGTTGTTCAAGTATATTTTCTCTATATTCGTTCATTTTATTTTTATTCATTATTTATTTGAATATTTGTTTATTTAAATATTGATGAGAATTAGCCATTGTATTATATAACTGGAATAAATATTAAAAGATAAAGATAATATATAAATATAATAAATTTTTGTTCTTATCCAAAATTTTCCTAATATTATTACTAAGTTTAATTCTTAGGGATGTTTTTTTTGGACAGGTTTAAATTGGATGAACAATTTATTTATCCGTTGAACGTTTCGTCCCTATATTTGGGACCCAATATATATATATATATATTAGGGTGAATCAAAAAAAAACTTTTATTTTTTTTTTGGATCTGACACACAAAAACTTGTTGCTAGGCACCTTTAGAAAGTACTCACCCAGTATGGGCTCTTAATTTTAATAGGAAGATCCTCCTCATCGCGGTTTTTTATTTTT